CACATCCTCTTCCCCATTATATTTTCTATCGCTTCAGAATTTCATACGTAGAAGATGCCTGAATGCAAAGATGTTTCTGCTGGTTCCACTGGATAAATAATTGCATTATTATTACTAATTATGTCAGTATGGACTTTTTCTTTGCAGCTCAATGTTCAGATCTGTGGTTGTCCCGTTTCTGTTGTCTGCTGAACCGATTGGCGAAGCCATTCCCATTCAGGACGGATCATCCGACGAAGAAGACGTAAGTGCGATTTTCATTGAAGTTTAAAGCTTTATTAGCATATCTCGCTTTGAACAGAACGAAAATACGTAACTATTTCCTTAGATTTCAATTGAAAGTCTTATGAAGAAGTAAGCTTCTTAGGTCGATGAAAGTTTTTCTCCGCTGCTCAGCGTAGAATGTAGAAATATATAGGAATAAACATTTTGTGCGTCTCGGAAGCGAAGGAACATTCTCATTCTGGACATGAGAAATGATCCTTGATCATCACCAGGAAGTACTATCTCGGCAAGTTCACTGGAGGTGAATGCCAGAAGACTGTCAAGGTACTGAATGCATCCTATAGCAAAGGTTTACTGTACGCTGTTTGAAAAGAGGAAAAAAAACCATGATCATCACCAGGAAGTACTATCTCGGCAAGTTCACTGGAGGTGAATGCCAGAAGACTGTCAAGGTACTGAATGCATCCTATAGCAAAGGTTTACTGTTGCGACAAACTTTTCTCCTTTTTTTTGGTCAATCGCATAATACAAAACCCTTTGCGACTAGGTACCAACTTTTTACCACAACCCGAAGGAACTCTATGAAGAAACTTTTGACGTAGGTTATATGTCAATATATACGTATACCACGCGTCTGATCGTTAGCTGGACAGCTATTTTCTCTGGGATACGTCATTAGCAAAAGCGGTTCTCTCTCTGGCATGGAGCAAACATTTTACTCTTATCTATTCCTTCTATAGTTCTATCTCCCTTCGTGCACCGGTTAAGGACGTGCTGTAATTTGTTTCAGTTGAGAATGGAGAGCAAAATACGCAACTCAGTTGCAGCAGTGAAGCAGAAATCCCGCGCCCAGCAAAGCGTCGACTCAGACTTTCTGGGATTCAAACCCAAGAGAAGTGAGCTATTTTTTTCCCCTTCATTTTAGCGGTAGTCCTTATTTAGTAGGATGAAAATTTTCTCGAGTAAACTTTCCTTCACGATTTCCAGCTCAGCGTGAAGCGCCTTTTCGCATTTTATATTTTTTTTGCCGTGGCAATATTGTAATTGCATTATTCTTCGTTTATTTATCATGAAATTTCTATTTTTGTTAAAATTGCTCCAGATTGTTAGAATGATCGCTTTCCGTTGGAGATTTAGTAATGGTTCTCTTTGAATTCAAATTCCTTCGTACATAAAAGCTCTCGTTATATTTTGGAGAACTCCATCATTTTGCCAATTTTGACGCGGCAATTTGTTTGAAGTCATAAGCCTTGTATCCTGGGGAAATTGTCCAATTATTCGAAAGAAACAGAGGCTTTTGAACAATGGAGAATGGAGGCTTTGAACCGTGACCTTATGACATACAAGTTTAGAAAAAATTGAGTTTCAGCACATTTCAGGAATATTGTACAGGTTTTGAGGTACCAATTCAAATGAACAAGCCGCTGTTGTTGCAAAAGTTCTGCAATATGTTTTATCCACTTCAGTAAAATAATGATTCCTCCGTCAGCAATACTTCAATGAATTTTTAGCAAGGCGTTCGCCAACATCGCAATTTTTCGCTCGATAAAAGCAATTCACGCGCATTTCCTCCATGGTGGCTTTTAGCATTGATCCTGGCGAGAAACACTTCAAGCTCTCGCTCTTTTAAACCATCTTTTTTTTCTAGGTTTTTGGGCATTTTTTGTTCGAGTAATAGCGCAACATCAAAATAAGAATTATTGGCCATCCCTGAGGGGTCGTACATTTTAATGCAAAAAGGAAAACTCAACTGGAACTCTTCCACCTTAGAAACAAGGTTTTCTGGTAAACATTTTCATCCTAAAAACTT